TAAAATAATTCATGATTGTTTTTTTTTTCTCTTTTTTTTTTACGAAGTTGAAATAACTATTCATAATAAACAAACTGTTAGTTTATCAAAATTAATACAGAAAAAAAAATTCAGGGTAATATGAACCGATGATTTGGATATTGGGGCTATAAAGGTTGAGGAGAGAGGAGTTGATTACTTTCTGTCAAACAAACACTCGGATGAAAGGAAAAAATGTATTTAGTTAATGGCAGTGACAAGGTTCTGAATATTTCCATATATATACATCCATTAATGCCATTAACAATAAAGGCAGGTTTTATTCCTTCTTTAGCCATTACATCTTAAAAGAGGATCCACCACCAGGTATATATGTCGGACTTTAAACTGTTAGCCAAGTGTCCAAATATAAATATCAGCCGGTCAAAACTACTTTATTATCTTTTATCCTCAAAAAATAACAAGAAATAAAATCTTTTTCTATTGTTGCCACTCTTTTGTCTCACTACTGCTACTGTCAGTGTTTACACTAAAATTGATAAGCTTATTACTTATGTTGATAGTTTCACTGATAATGTAAATGATTACAACTACAGTGGTTTTCCACTTACTCCACCTTACTACAAAGGTCGTTTCTCCAATGGTCCTTACATGGCTCGAATATGTTATTCGTAACCTCATACACCATGAATTCAACAGCTGGATTGTCTCCTCGTGCTATCCAACAAATTGACATACTTACAGTCAATGGAAGATGCTTTAGATATTATCTCTATCGACTAGTATACGATTATTGATAATGAGAATTACGGTGCCATGAATGTTACTACGACAAGTGTTGCATAGTAAAAAATTAAAGAAAAAAAATATTAAGTCTTATATTTGTTTTTATTTAAGCCTGTCCGCTTTATTGGCGCTGGTCTGTGGTCAAGGAAGTAGATAAGACAAAGACAAATTTAAAAAGATTTACAGTTCCAAAATACAAAATAATATTCTGAATGATCCTGAAAGTATTGGTTCGAGAACTGGTAACAGTCCTTGTAACTCTGGCACTGGTGAGAACAAGGTCTGTGATGACCCAAAAAAAGATGTGTACTGAAGTAGTTATCCTTTTGAAGCCAAGGCTTGGGGTAAGTGGGGTATTAAGAATATTAAAAAAAGGTATGATCTCTAATCAAAAAATAACTAGACTCATTGTAATAAATAGGCAGACACTCATAAGTTAATATTCTTTATTAATAAATACATTTTTCAGGAACGAAGAAATTAGTATATATCAATACAAAATGTTTTAAAATTATATATTTGTAAAAGAACACCAATAATATAGACATGCGGCACTGTTATTTCGAGACAGCAAAATGTGGGATGTTTCTTCATAGTATCTTTGACTATAATCAAAAAATACTACTCTCTTGTCTTGCTAAAAATACGAGATATAAATAGTTATGACGAGAAAAAAAAATCATTCGAGTCTGTTAATGAAAGACTTATAGAATATTTATTTTGATAATAAAGTTTTATCGATTCGATCTTTTTCTTAAAATAAAGAAACAAAGAAATGACAAGATATTAAGGAGCCAAGGATTTCTTGACATGTGAATTGAATTTAAAAAAGTCCTTTTGTCAGGTTGCACCAACTCTTCTTTTTCCCTGTATTTTATTCTTTTTTTTTACTTGCTTCAAAATGGCACGTTGGACTATTGCTGGTCTACAGCAAGGTGTTGAACATGCTGTCAATGGCATTATTTTGGTTGCAAAGAATCCAAGTATTCGACAACATAAATTCATTCGCATCTTTTTATACCTTTCTATTTTCTCATTTCTTTTATTCGGTATAGCTCGACTTGTCATTACACTTCCTGTACAAATATTACGTCTTATATTATGGATCGTTGGAGGTCCCGATAAACTTGGTGGAACAGACGATATCCTAGTCTCAGTCAATCGTAACATTGGGGAAATGATGTCCTCATTGCCGTTCTTGGTTTTATTATTTATGCGTTACTTGTATCCAAAACCTCTTGATGATCTATTTATGGAATCCTTACGCTTTATCGATTCACAACATCCTGAACGTCTTCCTTATGCTTCTGCATTATCAAAACGTCGTTATCGAAAGGAATATTGGAATAATATGAAGGGGTACATGAAGCGCTCTTGGAAGAATTTACGGTTGGGTATTGTCATCTTATTGTTGTCAAGGTTACCCATTGTTGGACAATTTGTTTTTCCTGCCGCAGGTACATAATAAAAATCATAACACATCATTTTAGTGAGGAAAAAAGTAGTTATTGTTACTAATGAAAGATAAATATTCTTTTTAGGTGCTTATACTACATTCAAATCATTAGGACAAACACAAGGTGCTGTTGTGGGGGTCTGTTTCTTGTTCTTACCTCGTTGGATGACCATTTCGTTAATTAAAGCTCTTATTGGTATGCGTGCAATGATGCGTGAATTATTGGAACCTTATTTTGTTCGAATGGGGTTATCACACAAGGAAAAACGACGTTGGTTTAGCGGAAGGAAGGATATTTTATTTGGATTTTCGGCCATTGCATATGTCTTGACAAGAATACCTGTGATTGGATTTGTTGGATTTGGTGTCGCGCAGGCAGCGGCCGCTTATATGCTTACTACTGTTACTGATCCTCCCTCACCCAATGGAACACCCCATGGATCTCCTCAGCCTTCTGTAACTAACCTTATATCAACTGACGAAAAAGTTAAACAACAAGAAGAACAAAAACAATTCTCGTCAGTCGAGGAAAATAAAAAGTCAATATAATCATAATAGTAATTTATTTATATACATATATATATATAAAGGGTGAATTAAAACTCTTTTTTCTTTTCATCATAACTAAGACCACCAGGACCAATCGAGATCAACAAGAGTAATCCACCTACAATACTCAACGTTTGGAAAAAATCATATTTTACAAAATCACGTTGCGAACCCGATAAATTGAGCCAGTTGTTGAGTAGAACATTCATTACACATAAGAGCGACACCAAGAATGTTGCTGACCATTTTGCACGGAAACCAACTACTACCATCACACAAGCGACCATGCCAATCAATGAAAATGCTATCCGTAAAAAGCTCCATTCTCCATTGAAGATAAAACCAACAAACAAGAGAACCAAGAGTACACGACCTGCGAGTTGGAAATATTTATGGCGCTCACTCTCTGTCATTTGTGGTAATGTGAACATGGCTGAAGATTTTTGACTCGAGCGACACCGTAATAATGATTCGGATAGACAAAGTAATAGACCGCCCATGATCGATAAGTTTCTTAAGAAAAAAAGCTATAATACATAGTTGTGATTGAGTAAATAAGTAATATGTATATACGTGTCATGGTTCATTTTCTTACCATATCGAATACAAGACCATACATAATGGCTTGAATGACAATTACACCAAGGAGAGCTATCACTGAAGTACTGACATAACGTTTGGTAATGATACAGCTTGAAAATATCACCATCATCTATATCATCCATTAATTTTCTTATACTACTACTCAATCACACTCATACACCTATATATATGGTCTTTTTTTTTCTCCTTCCCGATATGAATATTTACTCTTTACTCCATATAATCTCTCTCAAGTCTACTTTACCGAAACATTCAGGACCAAATAGATGCTAGTCAATGCTCGTGGTAAATGACATCGTTCGGATAAATATGCAACTTGAATACTCCATTGTGCAATAATACGAAGTGCATCTTCGTAAAATGTCACGACGATCAAAAAACGACTTATAAAAGGAAGATGAGGTTTAATGGGTCGAGACCAGGTGTCAATCGCATTTTCAATTTGGTCTCCTGCACTTCGTAATGAAGAATCAAATGCCATCCTTTATTTTCTTTTTTCTTTGTTTAAAAAAAAGGAACGTGAAGGTACGAAAAAAGTGTCAAAAAACAAATAAAGTCCAAAAAAAAACTTCGGTTTATTATTATTGTAACTATTATTATTATTATAGATACACAATACAGATATTACTATTAAATATGTATATATATACTGTAACGGTATTCTTTTTTAGTCTACATACCGTATGTTCGATATTTGGATATGTTTTAAATAACAAATAAAGAAGATTTAAAAATAATTATCAGGCAGAATAAACCATTTTATTGATAAAAAAATTAGAATGGTCCGTGCGAGTAAAAAATAAGAGATTCTACTTTTTTATAAGCTAGGAAAAAAAAAAGAAAGAAGAATCATTAGGTGTATGAAAGAAGAAAATATAAATTTGAAATTTTTTTTATAGTAATAAGTAATAGGGAGAATTGCTGTAAAATGATATAAATTGTTTCAATATGGGCTATCTTACGATATGTTTTGTAAATAGATCTAATTTATATTCACTTAGAAGAATATTTATATCTCTTCTTATATTTCAATAAATGAATATTTTCTTATTGCTATATACAATTATAATTTAAAATATTTTGCTATAGAAAAATAAGCCAACAATATAACAGAGTTCTTATTAATACTTATATCTAGTAAGTTGACTATCTCTATACTACTACTAATAGAGCTTTAAAAAAATATCAAAGTATTCATATATTTTAACTTTTAATAATAATTTAAACTTAAAGAATAGTAGAAAAGAAAAGTAACAATTCTATATCTTGGTGAATACTTGTCCTGATATATGTATTATATTACGTATTTCTCTTTTTAAGAAATAATTTATATTGTCTATAAATCAATTTAACCTTTTAACTTAATTACTAATAATATGGAAAAAAGATAAAACCTTTCTTCTAGCTTTTACTTATTAAATTATTAGTATATATAGAATTCAACTTTACTTAATATTAAAAACTTAATATATAAGTATATATGTATATCAAACTTGGTAAAGCAGCTTTGAAAGCCCAAGAAAATATCTATATATAAGGTGGTATTCTTATTGATTTATATAGCTGAAATGTATAATAGTTAGTGTATTATATGTGTTTTAATTGCATTTTTTTACGCGCTAATTTCAGGGGTGTAGCGAAGTGGATTAACGCGTTGATTTCCGGAGTCAAAGATCGTGGGTTCGATCCCCACCTCCCCTGCTTTACCACGAATCTAAGACATATAAAGTACTAGACTGTTGCGTATATTTTTAAATAAGTCGCATAATAATTAGACATGTTAAATATCTACGACTGACAAAAGTCTGTTTTAACCTTTTTTTACATTTCATATTTTACAAAGAAAATGTTAAAAAACACAGAAGATACAGTATTGAAGAGATGAAGAGTGATATCTTGCTGTGCTGATATCACTATAATTTAATAAAAAAAGTATAAAGATTAAGAAGATATTATGTTATATTTTCTGATATAAAATAATAGTAATATTTTTGCTACCAATAAAGTCATTGTGAAAGAGTTACTGCTTATAATTTTTGAAAGCCGGTGAGATATGATTATATAACAAATTATAATAATTTGGGCAGATAATACCAAATGTCAAAAAGAAGTACATAATGCAATTGTAAAGCGATGTTAGCAAAACTATTACTAATACTATTCTCCAAGAGCTTGTTAACGATTTATTTACAGAGTTTTGCTGGTAGAAGCAATGAAAACCAGAATCAACATCAAGGAGCTGAAGACTCTGAACTCGGGAGTTTGCTCTGCGTGCAATTCTGGTATAAACGAATCCTCGATAAGTGAAAACGTTATTCTATTTATGTTTGCTCAGTTTAATACCATAAGCATTTATTGTTGTTTTTTATTATTTGTAAGCTTTCACATATTTTTCTGTTTAAGAGAATTAAAAAAAAAGAAAAACCTGTTTTTTATTTTCTTGCTTACATTGCTATTACCATTAAAAAACGAATAGTAATCGATTAAGTAAAACAAACATAATATTAAAAGAAAGGCGAAGGCACCACTCTTTGTTATAGAACAAACAGCATTTTAATTAATGGGAACATGAAAAAACAAATCGCTTTCTAGATTGTTATTCCTATGCACTACTTGACTTCTTAAAAAATAGTCTCTTTCTGAGCGTACCAACAGCTTTTTCTTATATTAGTTCTACAGCTAGGTTTTGTTAAGTTCATTAAACAAGGACCTTTTTTCGTGGCTGAAAAAATCTCATATTACTACTTTCTCTTTTTTTGCTTCACATATTTTATTACGGACCTGATAATTCATTCTGTACATATGTTGTCTGAAAAAACGTACGTTTGTTCGCCTGACTAGTTTTTTTACGAGAATACTAAGAATTATAGTTATTTAATGCGTGTCCGTGGTTTTCTTACCCTGCGTCTTATGTATAAAAACTTATATCTTGATACATATGGGACTTACAGCAAATAATAAAAGAACCAGTCGTTTTATAGAAAAGAACCTCACACTAGCTGTGGTCCCTGGTCACACAAAGATAAGTATTAATACGTCAAAAATAAAAGTGTTGGTCTTATTTAATACTTGAATAGGGGCAAGCACACTATAAAGTGTCTTAATTGAGCTTTTTCTGTCAACAGATAGATTCAAGGCAAAAATAAGGCTTTTTTTTAAAAAGCAGATAAAACCAGGGGAAATATTGTCAGTTTTCTACTTGTTCTGGTAACATAAAAGATTTCTGTTTTTTACTCATATGTTTAATTACAAGTCCTTACTATAATTATATAATGTAGAAGATTTTATCAAGAGATAACAAAGGTATGACAGTAATTGCTAGATTAAAAAAATGCCGCAGAGTAGGATTAATACACTAACATTTATCAATACTGCTACATTTTTTTACATTCGAGGTTTTCAGTATGGTGTTGATATGCAGTAGTACCGATGATGCAATGAAATATAAATAATTATTTTCTAACGACAAAATCTCTCACAGTATGATCCAGCCTATTAAAAAGCGAAACAAAGCCATAATAGAACGTTCGTGTACTACATAAAAAAAAAACAATAATGCATAAGAACATGCATAATAGTGCGTTATTAATATAACACTTTTGTTTATATTTATCATTCATTTATTTTAATTGAAATGTAAATATTTCTTTATAGTATTTTTAACACTTCTTAATCCTTTTTTTATGTATGACATTGTTTGTTTAATGAATATTGACTTGGAATAAAAAAAAATAATATTAAGAAAAACAACCAGTAGTAAAAGTAGCAGTGTGTGGCACAGTTAAAATAGTAGTGTTATTAGTAAGAAGTAGTGGTACTCCAAATACGAAGAGTCATTGTGAAGTTGCGATGTTAGTTTTTTATTTCATGAAAAATAATAATCTGCAAGGTGATCATTATATTGCTAACATGACCAGTTTCTTAAATATCTCATGATGATGATGATGATATTAAAATGATATCGGACCATGACTTCCGTGGGGGGAGGGGGAGAGGTGTTACTCTCTTTATATATATTTTATCTAGAAAAAAAGTCGGTGTCAATTGGTATGATGAATGTTTATACGTCGCTATTAGTGTATTTATCATGAATTAATATCTGATCCAAATAGTAGTGATTGTTGTTACACAGCAAGCAAGCAGGAGAAAAATATAAAAAAAAAGGGACGCGGGGGGGACTGTTGAAAAAGGAAAAATTACATTTTTTAATAGAATGATGAAGGATTACATACATGGTGGAGATAAGTGATTTGAATGATTGATTATTGAAAGGAGGAAAAAAAATAATGTTTGGTTTACAAATGAATAGTGCTTTGACTTTCAATAAGAAATATCAAAAATAATGTGTAATATGATGAGTGTAAGTGTATGGGTATGTATGAGTGACGTGAGTATAATAATAAACAATAGTAAAAAATATCAGATCAAAAATGGTGAAGAAATTAAATAATAATATTAAAAGAGGTAGAAAAAAAAGGAGGGAAAATTAATATTGACTACTACTGTGTTTGTTTAATAATACGAATTCCTTGAAAAGTTTTTTTCGACGTTTACAAGATCAATTGAACCATGGCCTCTTTTAAATTGATATACGATACGTAATGAGGGCGCCGTAGAATATAAATAATTTGATGGTGGTAGCGGGGGAGTTGCCACAGTTGCACGTGCTGCTGTTGTCGCCGCTGCTGCTGGATCTTTCTCGTCTGATGGGTCTTCTGACGCGGACGAGGATGAAATGTCTGTAAACAGCTGAACAACCCATAAATTCTCTACTGCTGAATCCAGTTCATTCCAACTGCTTAACGAACGTTGTATGCCTTTCATAAAAGAGTCAAAGAAATGGTTGGCAATTCCAAAGTTATACATGTATTGATTTTTTTCAAGTAATAGACCTTGTTGAATTTCACTTGTAACAAGCACAGGATTTCCAAATGAATAGATGTTTGTTGTGCATTCAATGGTACGACGCTCGGTCGTCTCCAAAAATAATGCACTTGTATATGTGTATTCAGTAGCATACCAATGAAAATTCATGTCCACTTTAGCATGTAGTGTGCATTCAGTATCAGCTGTGGTATTAATGAGATATTGAAGCATGTCGATGTTATCATTGTTATTGTCATGATGATATGGATAAGCATCCGGAATTTGATGCTGCTCTTGCTGTGGCGTTAATAAAACAGTAGGAATACGTTGGAAAGAAGGGTGTCGATGTTCTAATTGAGCAAGAACGTGACACGAATTATCGTGATGACAATCAAGACCAAGTGAAATGTAATTAGGTCGTATATGTGTAGGTCTCACTGTCATTGTAGTAGGAGTAATTATAGATCTTGTTGGTTGTGGTGTTGTAGCCGCTGTAATCATATTACTGTATTGCTGATGGTGTTCTTGTTCATGATGAATGTTTTTTTCTACTACCACTGTTGCCGGAGGTGTTGGTGGTAGTTGATCTGGATGAGGTTGTGGCGGTTGCGCAGTAATCATGGGAGGTTTCTTATTTTCATCTTCATCATACATCAATGATATGATTCTCATAACTAATAGAAAAAAGTTAATTAGAAAGAATTACTAAAGAAATTTCTTCAACTCAAATACTCGTAATATATGATGATGTATGTATATTATTATTACATTTTGGATCGTTTCTTCGTGTATTCTTTAATACTTGAAGGTGAGATGATACTTGTTTCCGCGTTCGGCTTTTGCCCGTTTTTCGAAGTATGTAATCAGAAATAAGTTCGTTTCGACCTATAATTCGTAAAATTAATAACATTGTTTAATTTTAGAGCTTTGTAGTAAGAAGATCCGATGTAAAAAAAGGCAGATATTCTTTAATATATGTATTTACCATGTGGTTTTCCTTTAATCATAATTTTTCGTCGTCCAAGCTTTGGGACTTTTTCTAGCGCTATTTTGTTCGTTCGTCAAAATATACAAAAAGAAAAAGTTATTTTTTTAGCACTATTAAATATGCTAACTTATTTTTTGTATGATATATTATGACAATATGTAATGTAATAAATACCTTCAATGAAAGCAGACTCTATTTCTGCTGGCCAAACAGAATCATCATTTTGCTGCTATATAAGATGTATAAGTACTAACATACACAATTCATATACTATAAATAATATACTATTGAATCAAATCTCAATTACCTCATGTTTATCGCGAATCGTAGAGTTCTTTTGGCGACATTTTCTTACTGGTGAAAGACCAGTTGTCTTACCAGCAGTTCCATTACGCGCATCAATCATTGGGCTGAAGAGATAATATAAAAACGCAAACTTTATAAAAGAAAAAGGTATAGCTTACAAGTAAAAATGCTATTTTGAATATTTATAAATATTTATAAATATCTATTTCTTAATGTATGGGAAAAAATAGTAGAGAAAAGAAGAGTATAAAAGAATAAAATAAAAGGCAGAATTAAGGAAAAAGGGGTGTAAAAGAGCCTTGACTGTTGGAACGAATTTTTATTATTCAAAAAAAAAGGGGGGGGGGAAGGGATGGAGAGTGGAAAATGAATCGATCTACAACATGAATGTATATACATCAACACCTGCATTACAAAGTCATGCGGTACCCCCTTTCAATGATTTTGCTATTTTTTTCATTTTAATCACGACTGCCCATGGTTTATTAATCGTGCGTTAAAAAAATTAAAAAAAAAAGTATACTTTGTTTCTCCCTCCTCC